TATGGTAATTTGAACACGTTGGCATCATCCAGCTTTTTGATTGGTTAATTAGCGATTTGACCTACTTGACCTAAGAGAACATGGCAGATATCCTACAGCATCAAACGTTTATACGAGACCGGAATCATTCGCTTACGATGAAACTAAGTTGACTTTTATTTGTATTTCATAACAATTCAACAAATTTATTTTGTGTACATTATTATAATCACTACTGAGTAATAATCAACAATTCTGAAACGCAGCATGCCGAGATTTTTGTGTTCGTTTTTATTTGAAACTTCGTTTATTTAGAATATATTTTCGTTACCAATAAAATAAAAATCTCTCAGTCAATCAGAAACCCGGATTCATGCCTTTGGGAAAGGTCTCGTTTGAACGCTCACATCGTTTTTTTTTTTTTCATTTGGGGGAAAACTAAAACTGGTCGCAATTTTCGAATAAAAATCATTCGGCAATTTTTAGTGAAGACAAAAATTTGGAGGTAAATAAAAAACCGAAAACCGCCAAATAACTAAACGACAGAATTTTTAGACTGGTCGAAATTTTGGAGTTTTTACGGTACATCAAATTAGTCATTATATCGAGTTTACACAGAGTTAGGTTTTTTAACTAAAATTGGGACAATATCTGCAGTTGGGCCATTATCTGCAGTTGGGCCATTATCTGCAGTTGGGCTATTATCTGCAGTTGGGACATTATCTGCATTTGGGACATTATCTGCAGTTGGGACATTATCTGCAGTTGGGACATTATCTGCATTTGGGACATTATCTGAAGTTGGGCCATTATCTGCAGTTGGGCAATTATCTGCAGTTGGGACATTATCTGCAGTTGGGACATTATCTGTAGTTGGGACATTATCTGCATTTAGGACATTATCTGCAGTTGGGACATTATCTGCAGTTGGGACATTATGTGTAGTTGGGACATTATCTGCAGTTGGGACATTATCTGTAGTTGGGACATTATCTGTAGTTGGGACATTATCTGCAGTTGGGCCATTATCTGCAGTTGGGACATTATCTGCATGTAACCACGACTTCTGTCGAGTTGCGCCAATGGGTATTAGACCCATGGGGTTAATTTGTTGTCCTCAAAGGAGGATATTAGTGTAGGTAGGCCACACATGATTGGGTTAAAATCACCTAGAGTAGTTCATTTTGTATTGTGAACGAGACCCTCATTTTTATTATTTAGTCAGCATTGAGTTGTATTAACCAGCGCGTTTTGTTTTGAAGATCTTTCTGGTGTCAAGGATAATTTGTATAAATTATGTTGGTGACCTAGTTTTTGAGTTATATTTATATTTTGAGTTATTTATATATTTGTCTTGTATATTCCTAGGAGTAAGCAGTATTTCTTTTGTTCATTATCATGCTATTTTGATAGGGAATTTTCTTGTGTTATAAAATTTATGAGTGTGTTCTAATTTGACGCAGTATGGGCTGAACGGC